TAAACTTTCAATTGTATAATTTTATTCATTTCATTTGAAAACTATAAAAATAACCGATACATCTTATGCATAGAAGTACCATACAGGTGCTTACTAGTTCATAAATAAAGTTAGAATAGGTAGGTAATTAGAAATATTTCGATCAATCGTTAACTATGTTATCAATGCTTTAATAAAAAATGGATTATCGTAAAAGACTTTTATGATATTTAAATGCGAGAAATTTAATAATTTTTGTATCTGAAGTTAATTTCGTTTATGCAATAAAAAAGATAGAACAGATTGTGTAATAATAAACACTTTCAAAAAATTAAAGGCTTGCAAATTGTGTCAGAATTAATCGTTGATTACAAAATTTGATAAAAAGCAAGAAATAAAAATGTGAAGTTTGAAATATAGTAAGTGTTACACAGGACTAATTGCAGTAAATTAGGATTTTCAATAAGCAATAGAAAAATTAAACTTGTATAGAATTACATGAATTTGATTTTTTCTTTACTTAAAAGCGTTAGTAATTTTCAAACAATGTTTTAACTTTTTCATAACACTCAAAATTGATTTCATTTTGTAACAGTTTAGGTATAATTTAAAAAACTGATTTAAAGTCGCAATTCTTGCTGTTCGATTCCGGTAATAAATGAACGATTTTCACTATCTACGTAAATATACTGGCCCAAAAGACGTGAAATTTCAATACCCTGGAAAAATTCCAGTTTGAAGTAGATAGTTGTTATCAAATATTTAGCTGCTATTTTAACTAAAATGAAATGCACAGTAAAAAATTAACTGACACATCGGAGCTAATATGATAAAATGAACTGGAAAAATAAGAACTCAGCAAAATGAAATAATAGTAATTCAGCAATTATCAATTTCAGAATTTAATATCTTATCTCATATACAAATATATATATAGTGAAAATTTTTGTATTTTTCAAACAATTTTTATGCAGTTCTGGCAGTAATATTTACCTGTTCAGTTTTCACAGATATATTTTTGTGCTTATGCTGATTGCCAACTTTAATATCCAAGAAAACGTTTTGTTGGTTAGAGTAACCATTCGTTGACATAATCTGCAATAGCTTTATGAATTACATATCTTTAATTACTGGAATGATACGAAAAAAATGTTGAATTAATACTTTAATTGTTAACCTCTGCTAATTCAATTTTCATAATTTCTCCTCTGTCTTTGATATTAATAGCTTTAATGCCATGTTTATTAATAGCAAGTAAGCACTGCCCTGTTTCCTCATCACCATCAATAATATTTTGCACCAAAAAGAATGTTGTACCAAAATAGGGCCACTTTTCGAGTACTTCTATAATAAGCATTGGTTGCATTGCAAAAAACAGTTGTAGATAATCGAATATTATCGCAATAATAATGAAAATGACACACTTATCAAAATTTTGAGTAGTAAACAAATTTTTCAAAAAAAAGTTTAAAAACAAGAAATGAACATTTGCGTTGTAAAAAGTGTACCGAGGAAATGTGCTTTTGCTTCAGTTTGATTCAGATTTTGGTGTTGCATTAACTGCAATTTCGTATTAATCCTTTGAATCCACTGATCTGCTGTTCGAATGGGATAAACTGTTTTTGGGATCATTGCAGATACATTCTTCCTGAATAGGCGATATTGAACAAATTTGTAAGCAGTCATTTCAAAGCATTTTTAAAAACAGAAATTAAATTTTTTATTGGTATCAATTAAATTTATTTTCACTTATTAGAAGGAGTTACAATCAAATTTTATATACGCCAACAGCAATGAGATAATCAAAATGTATTTCGATAAAAAATTTGTTAAACAAAATAAATGTTCACGCTGTGATACGGGCAGGTCGCTCTTTATCCGCTAAATATAAAAAGGCTCCCAGACGAGCGATATCATCCTAAAATAAGTCTTTTTATTATAAAATATTCTGATAATATTATTTATGTGATAAACCAGACATTATCAAGTAAAATACTGGAATTTGTAAATAGTTGGAAGTTGGAGCTTGAAAGAATTCAGATCTATCAAACAGTCCTTAAGAAAAAACAGAACAACCAAAATATCCGCGCTGATTTTTCCATTGTTTGATGCAACAACTAATCCTTCTATATAATCGGGGACAATCTACAAATTAATCTTTATCTATCTATACTGTAATTTAAAATTATGCAGATATAGATTGTCTGATAAAAGAAACAATCAAGATGTTATGAATTTACTAATTTGCAATATAATAAATAAGGCGGGGGAATTTCTAGTATTTTTGAAAATAGTTGTGAGTTAAATGCTACTTTAGTATGAATTTCCAAGAAATGTAAGATAATTAAGACTTTTCATCTTTCCTTTATTCGGAATAGATTTTTATTTTGACTTCATGCATTTCAAAGCTTGTTCACTGCAGTGATATATATAAATACTTGTTTTCATAATTGTGTTAGAAACAAATTATCATTGCTTGCTAAACTATATTTAATTATGGAGTGAAATGCAAAATATCAGCAAGGTCAGAAGTAAAACGATAAAGCACTAAATTAAATACAAGTTATGGTGAAGAAAAACAATTAGAAGAAAGATAAGTCTTGATATTAATAAATAAGGAAGTGAAAAAGGATACTTTCTGACGTTTATGTAAATTTCAAATACTACAAAACAAGTTTTTTGAGCCAACCTGTAAGTAAATTTAAGCAATAACATGAATACACGTTGAAAAAAATGAAATGATTGACCTAATGGCAATTTACATGTCATTAACTGCAAAAAAGAATTAACATGCAGTTTTTAGTATTAAAATGAAAAAACCTGGAAAAACATCACGTCGATATAACGAGCATTGTCAAGACGTAATGGATGAATCCATACAGTACGTTTCAGTAACAAAAAATATTGCTTCTGATCATGTTCTAACTTGGTACATATATCCATGATATATTCATCATTAGCAAGCATTTTAATTTTTCCTTCTGAAAGTTCAATCATTTGTTTGCACATAACATTCATATTAAATCGACATTAATTTATATACCATATTATTGATCAGCCTCTTAAATATTTCCAAACTTTGATTCTGCTCTATCTTTCCTTTCAGAAGTTTTACTTTTTGAAGATCATGAGACTACCTGATTCTAAAATATAACATAGACAGAATTCTTGTTGTTCAGCCGGACTTCGGATATTGAGCTCCTGACAAAGCTGCTGTATAATTTCTTCAACAACCGTTACAGATCTTGTATTAATTACTTGCCGATGACCACCGGGCAGATGGTATAATTGGCGCTTTAGGGTTTTGCCCATCTAAAAGTAAATATCTTTACTGGATAATTTCGTAAAATTTTTTCTAACAAGATAGAAGTCATCATTTTTGTGTATTTTTTAAATTAATAAATTGTGTTTTTTATAGTCAAACAGTACTAGCAGGCATTTAATTTCTTATCAGTACTACTCATAAATGCTTATGATACTAACCGTAATTGCTTCAATTTCTCTTCCACTAAGAAGAAATTGACGGCCACCGTATTTAAAGGTTTTTGCCAAATTTTGTAAGCAAATAAGCGCTGTTCCTGAAATTGCGATCAGCTTTGAATTAAAAAGTAGCTGCTTAACAAGTAAAAAAGTTCTTAATTATTCAAAGTACCGTGAAAAGCTCGTCTTGGATCACTAGCCATATCACATAGGTATTTAAACAGATATGGCCTAAACACCAATGAGCAATCAAAATATGAAGTTAGGATTGAAAATAGACGCCATCCACGTATGGAACTGCTGGCTCTACAATAATTCAATTTAATTCTTCAATAAAATATTTTCTTCTGCATGCATTAATTAATAAATTTAACAATAAAATAATTATTCATGTACATTTATTGAAAGATACAAAATGAATTACACTGTAATGATAAAATAAATGCACAAGACATTGTAATGATTATTTAAATTCAGCTTGCGTAAGACTCATTATAATATATTATGCTTACTTTGAACTTTTGTTGTTGGTAGTTTGACGGATAATCTGACAATATACTTCATCTCGAAGTGGCTGATATCGGTGGCAAATCATTAAAAGTTCATAAACACAGTCAGTTAATGTTTGACCACGCTTCAAATTTTCGTCACCCATATAACGCATAATACCTTTAATATTAAATTAACTTCTTCACATATATCTCAGACTTACTATAATTTTAGTCTTCATGTGCACACTTATTGCTACAAAAATTTTTTCACACTTTATCGACTAATCCATGTTTGAAATGCTTTATTATCAGTTATTGAAGAAAGAATTAATGATCTGATTATTTGAATTAAATTTGCTTACATTTGATCTGATTAATAGCATGATGCTATCTAATCTTTCAGCCCTTAATCTACTTCTAACATGAGTAAATAAATATCATGTTTGTGTCTGAGAGCATACCATCTAGACAAAATAAATCTCCATATCTTTCACATGTAACATTTCAAGCAAAATATTTTGTTCATTTTTATTTTTTGCAGAGCACATCACTTTACTCGCGAATTACACGTTTTTATCTATCATAATAAATCATGTAGCTCAACGTATTGATGATAAATAAACGTTTGTATGATTAGTTTGTGCCTCTTTCATTACATCATTGCCCCTGTTTCCTCTAACTGCATTTGACACATTGTATAATAATTTAGCTACTTTAAATCTAATTGTATATTTTATCTCCTAAGCTTTTTCTAGCTTTGCTTAAGTCTTAATTAAAAATGCTTATTTTGTATAACATACTTAAAATCAGATGCCTGCACATTATTGATAATCATAGTTTACTTCCACCATAGAATAAAAGTATTTTTCATTAAAATCTGAAATAATGTCTCTAACTGTACTAACACATAAATGCATCTTGGGCTAATTTATCCGCTTCGTTGTTATCCAAACGCAGTAAGGAATGTGTTATTGGTTTGTTTGTGAATTTTACTTTTTCTGCAATTTCTTTCCAAGTCCAATCCTTTTCTGAAATTGCATATATTTCAAACTTTTATATGTCTTTGTAGCTTTTTACCCTATTGAATTATTTTGCTACAAGCTGAACTTCATTCTGCATGATTTGCATTAAAATGAATGCATATTCCTAGATTTTTTTTTTCAAATCAGTAATTTTGCTTACTTTTTTTATGTGTGTTATCCAAACTATAATTTCCTGCATTGATGGTAGCTGAAACACCTTTTGGCCGCCGAAAATAAAGCATAGCAAATTGCATCATTGTAAACTTATTTTCGGGATCAACTCCATCAAGAAAGCACTGGTCTGCGTATTCCTATAAGTTTGTTTTATTGTGTGAGAGATTGAATGTCATTAAAAATCACTTTAATGCCATGTTTAGTTAATAAAAAATGAAACTAGTTTTCTAAAGTTATTAAAATGTTTTGTCCTTAAAATACTATGTGCTTTACCTTAAATATTTATTTCTTTTTGGTTTAGAAAAATTTCAGCATGAATGATTTTTTTGTCAGTTGAAAAGTGAAATTTTAAAAATTTTAAATTACTGCTTACCATGAAAGTTTTCGAATTGATCTGCTTTTGGCATAATTTTGAAAAAGAAGTAAACGAAGTCTGACATTTTATTTAATTTATTTTATTCAGAAGGGATTGCAGCTTAAATGATTATTCTATACTAACTTTCTCAGTTTCATTATTTTAGTTTCATGATGGCAGAAAATTTTTCACAAATGGAAAATGCTAATATGATATAATTGACTTGTATACAGTCATTATGAATCTTATTTCCTTTTTATCTTATTCAAAAAATAAAAATAAATAGAAATCATTTGTAAGTTCGTGATGCATAAGCTTATAATTATTTTTGTCATAAATAATACATAAAAACTGATACAAAAATATAAACTTTGGAGCTAAGTAAAATTTTATTTCAGTTTTCATTTTTATATGCTAAAAAAATATGAATTTTTCTTCACTTGATATAATTCGATTACATTGCATAAGTTAAAACAACTTTTGATTCCTAGTGATGATATTTGATTAATATTCATGCAGTGATTCTCTTGATATCTTTATCATGATTCCATGATTTTTGACGACGAAAATAATAATTTATTTGATAGAAAACAAAAAAACAATAAGGAGACAATGAAAGCGCTACCTGTAAATATGGTACCTAAAAGTGTGGCAAGAGTTTAACATATAACTAGGAAAGTGTCAAATTTAACGCAAAAAAAGGACCAAAATCCATTCTTGACAAATTGACTTCTTCATTCAGAGCCAAGTGGAACTCTTCACTTTTTTTAAATGAATTTTATTTCGTCTTCTTATTAGAAAATTAGAAAGTTTTAAAGAAAATATTAACTTTTTGGTATGCAAATATAATTGCATTAGTAACATTAGTTTATATTTTTTGTTGTTTTTTTAAAAATTTTTTTATTATTATTCAAGTATTACAGTGAGCTATGAGTAAAAGGGAGTATTTTATATTTGATAAGTTTTTGATTTTGGAACTTTACTGCAGGCAATAAAATAAACAAATCAAATGTGTAATGCAGTTAAGAATGTACGCCCTGCAAATCTGAAACCAAGTAGAAAAATGCAATCGTAAGCTGAATGATAAACAAGCAAAACAAATTGTAGATGAACTAAAAGTTAACACCACTAAGAAGATGAAAGTGAACGAACAAAGCTAACTGAATCATACAGGTTTTTAATCATGTCAATTTTTATCGTAACACAACTGTATTTTAAAACATGACAACTACGTATGTTTAATATAATGTTTTAGATTTTTGTTTTCTCTATTCTGCTCCAAAAATTTACATTTCAAAGTGAAGGATTAATTGCAAATGGAAAAAGTGGCAGTACCAGCCGCTTACCGCTACACACAAAAATGTCAACTTAAATTAGTAATTTAGAATACCAGCAAATTACACCAACACATAACACTGTAAATGCCAGCAATTTTTTTCCTTGCAACCACAATATTTCCAAATAAATGCATGTTAGTGAAAATAATTGAAAGTAATCAAAACTGCACAAAAATGTTTGCTTTTATGTATTTATACCTAACAAAAATGTAACATCTATAAGATACAAATGTAGTACTTGTAATGTCAAATTTGTAATTTTCTCTAGAAAGTAATTACTTTATTTTGATAGTTTAGGCAATTTAATCAGTGGAATAGATAAAGTTTGAAGTAAACAACAATTTTTTCATACTTTCTTCAATAAAAATGAATACAAGGAAAAAAATTCATTGCTAAAATCACAAGAATATGCTAAATAATATATTATTAAGTTGAAAAGAATACAGCATAAATAATTCAAACTTTTTAAAATTTCTTTTCATTGTTTCGTAGTAAAAAAAATATTCTACTACCAAAATATACAATTTTTTTTGAATACTAACACTGTCATCGTTAAAAGCAGCAGAAAGCAATGTTAACAACGTGATAAATTAATATTATAATTTTCTAGTGATCTAGAATATCATTCAGCGATGATAGTAAAAAAAAATGATACGGATAATAATTTCATTTAAATGTGTGATGACGAAAAATGAAAATTGGTAAAAACTGACATTAATTGATCAAAATTCGTTATTTACATCATTTTCTAAGATTTTTTTCTGGTTGTAACTAAAATAATTGAAATAATCAGCTTGAAATATAATGAAAATATTAGAAATTGAGCAAAATAGCAAGTGGAAAATATCAATGATAATGAATGAATGTGGTAGTTAATTCATATAACTTAAAGGAAAACCTAAAATTGGAAAAGCGCAAGCATAATTGATGCAAACTTTAGAAGTTGATCAAAATGCGAAATTCAAATTCAAATTATGCTTTAGTCATTTTGAATTTGCACTTATAATGCTGCGTTTTATGGCATTAACAACAGTGAAAAGTCATGAAGATTTTTCATACTTTCTTTAACAAAAATGAATATAATGAAAGAAAAAGTCATTGCTGAAATCAAAAGAATATGCTTAATAATATATGTAATTTAGAATATTTTGCCTGCCATTACATATATATACCTGTCAATAATATAAAAAAACAAGATATTTTTATAAGTTAGTGATGAGCGATAAAAGATAAAATTTAGATATTATGCAGATTGACCCAGATTGACAAGCAAAGCATCTGGTTGTTTTCAGAGTCTTTTGAGGTTAAGGAAAATAACAATGCAATATATTGCTAATACAGAGGAAAAAATGCAAAATTGTGAAGACACAAAGTTATTAGGTTCGGCGGTACATAGGTTGTGGTGGATCCACCTCTTCAAAAGCCCAAGGTGGCCATCGAAAGCTGAAGCAGCAGCAGTGTAGTTTGTAATACTTCGGTACTCCTAGATCGTAACGTGTGATACCTCCAACACCACTACGATTCATCGTTGCACCACCACCACCTCGCATAGTTCCTGTATTGCCAGCAGATCCATAAAAGCTCTGATGATGCTGTTGTTGGTTGGAACTACCAGCACCACCTCTATAATAACTGGTCAAGCCGCGATCTGCACCAAATTCTACTTCATCTTGCACGGCTGTGCAACCACCATGATGATAATCAGTACGATTTTGAAGCACTAATTCGTTCTTATTAGTGGAAGTACCACTCTGTGGTCCTGTACCACCACTACCAATTCCAGAATGCCGGTGAAAAAAGGATGACAAGTTTTGGCGTGAAGATTTCGTACCACCTCTTAAAGTACCATCATAATTGTGACGTATAGGAGATAAACTTTGGGGTTTGGAACGTCGCGAAGTTGCAATCATTGGCTCAGCACCAAGATCTTCACGGTAGTTGCGGATAGAACGGTCCAAAGCATCCCAATCAGATTCAGGAAGACTAATTCTTGCTTGATATGGTACCATTTGATTATCCAAATGATAATCATTTGTTACAACGCCACGTCGTCCGTCATAAGTACTTCGGTATTCTGCTATAGGACCGGTGCTGATGCTTAAATATTGTTGATAATCATAATTTCGTGGTTGTTGTTGTTGATGCTGATGTTGATGATGGGACTGATATCTCATTGTACCACCAGTATATCTATCATCAGCACTTCCTAGCGAAAATCCATAATTATCGCTAAATATAAGATCTCTTCGATTATCTAAAGATCGTGAGCGTCTTGGTCGATTATCTCCTCCAAAATGATTTATTCTTGAAGCACCAAAATAGTTTCCAGTAGGTCCAGTACCCGAAGCAGAATAATCATGTTCAGCAGATCGATATCCAGGACTTGATTGTTGTGGAATACGAGAATGGGATCGAGAACGATGTTGTTGATATCCATATTGATAATCCATAATGGAAAATGGAAACAGAATGGAATACTAACACTTGGGCAAAGATTAATTGATCTCTAACAAAATATTGCTTGAGAAAATTTTTAAAATTTCTCACGCGTTTATAAATTATCTAATAAAATTTAGGCCAATAAAGTAATTTTAGAAAAAGTCGAACACGCACTACGATTATTTTTTACTTTTATTATTATTATTATTGCATTAATTCCAGCAAACACTGGTAAAATCAGTAATGCGCGAATGAGACAGGATTAAACTAAAGGGATTATACAGTTTCCATTTAGCAGTTTAATAAATGTAAGCACACTTCAGAATTGGATGCTATCAAATTTAGTTTTCTAGCTGAGTGAGAAAAAATTTTTTGGTTTAGTAGACACACACTGTAGAAACAGTAAGTGTGAAATATTTTGATCAAAAATTTTTCTGGAAGAAATAGCAAACAGCTGTGATGAAAGTTAATCCGGAATTTTTATCGTGAAATTAAAGAGTAACGTTCCTGCAAGTTATCTTCTTATCACTGATTGATATTTTGTAGTTAAGAAAACGGAACTTTTGAATAGAGCAAGGCAGTAAATGCGACACGATAGTATATGCAGTTTACTTCTCCTTAACAAAATGTAGTGAATTTTGAAGAAAAACCTTGTCCCATCAACTATTCAAACCAGATCAAACTGCAAGTACACACACACGCACATACACACACATACAGATACAGGCACAGACACGTACATTTGCAAACATCCATTGACATACACACGCACACACGCATATACATGTAGGCACATAACAAGTAAAGGTGAAAATTTGTCCTGCTCTTCATCAATAAGGCATCATCTGACGGAAGAATAGATTAAATGTGTAATGGAATGGAATGAAATTAAATAAAAAAGAGAAAATAAATGATAAAAGAAGGTAAAAAAACAGGTTTTTGGTAAGTCTTCCTTCATATCTCAGATCTCATCGGAAATTATCAAACATCGAGTCATGAATTCTGTAGCAAACGAACGATTGATGAGCGGTGGCGGTCTTAGTTTATTACGGTTTTTTTAATTTTTTTTTTCACAAGAAAAAACCGATTAGTTTGAAGCAATACAAAGTAATTTTACTAAATACTTGCATCTCTCTTTTGAAATGCAATACATAGGTATATTAGTATCTGAATACCATATATATAATTTGTATTTATTTTATGGCAATCAACCAAAATGATTTCCATTTGATTAAGTGAGCCAAAAGTAACTCGATAAATGATCAAATAATTAAAAATTTACAAATTGTGAATAATTTTGAATACTATACATATTTTTCAAAAAAGTGATAGAAACTTAATGATCAGATATTAAGTAAGAAAAATTCTAGATTTGAAAAAACTTGTGAGTGTAAGTACTCAATAATTTTAGAAAATGGTACCTACTTATAAGTTTGTAATGTTTCTTTTTGATTTTTACAAGAAAAACAACTAGCTAAATTGATAAAAAACAATATGAAAAGGGAGAAGAGAAAATAAAATGCCTACAAATAAGTATCAAATCTAATCACTTGTCTAGGAATATCAAAAAATGTAATAGCCAAGTAAAAGTAAATGAGAAAATTAATAAATTCTTTACAAATTAATCAAAATTATCACACTATCATAAATTTCGTTCTTCTTATTTCACTTCAATTATTTAGTTTTTCATCTTGAATTTTCGAGTTTTACAATTAAAACCCATACATCTGATGATGCATCGTTTTCGTCACATTTTAATCAGTTCATTTGATTTATTACCATTAATTATTTTGAAGCCATTTAAAAAAAAGGGGACACTAACCAAATTATCGGGTTGAATACCAACAACAAATGATGAATTAATCATCGATTGTGAGTCTGATATCTGAAAGCCGTGATTTTAACAGCATACCATCTCTGTACAAATAGTACCATCGAATTGCGCATTATTTACTGATGCATTATATGAGTGCATATTTCTAATTTTTATTTTGTAGAAAGAAATAAAATTCAAATCAATCGATCACAGCTAATAATCACAACTACGTTACGAGTAGTATAGAATTATGTATCAAATGTTTATACCATGAATATGATTATTATTATTTAATTGAAATAAGTCAAAATTAGAGTAGCGAATATATTATAAAGAAAATAATAGTTAAAAATAAACTTTGAAGCCTATATAAGTTCATGCGAAAGCACAAGTAACTATACGAATGTGATTGCTCTATAATACCGTTTCTTGTGATATCGAGAGACTTTTGTTTTAATTACATTTTAAATAGCAATGATTAAGATAACTGGTGTAGAAAACTTCTTTAGAATATAATTACTTATCATATATAGTGTCACATTACTATTGCCCTAACAAAAAATTTTAATGAATTGATAAGCTAATAAATCAGCAATCATTTTGTTTTTGTATTACTTGGAATATTAAATATTAATTGAAAAAAAATTAATGCTGAACTTTTACAATTTTATTCTGAACGATACAAAAGTATTTTTAAAATTGCTTCTGTTACTTTATTTGTTGAAAAGTAAATCACCTGTTTTTCGATCTTTCATCAGTCTTTTTAATATGGATTTTGATGCATTTATTTGATAATTGGCATAAAAAACATGCATTGAATACTTTCTACTTACTTTTGACTTACTTTTATACCGATCTCTATATTAGTTCATTAAGTTAACAGTAAATGATAAATCATTTATTATTGCTGAATTAAAGTTTGTCAATGATTTACCTACCTGACCAAACATGTCCAAAGGTTCTACATAATTAGCTGGTAAATTTCCAAAATTATTACCAATCTTACCATATAACCATTGTTCGTTGTTTTGTTCTTCAGGAAATGTTTCATTACTTCGACTTATAATCTAGAAAAATGATAAAAGGATTAAACTGAACAGTGCTCAAATGTTGTATTTTTTTAAATCAATTTTATTATTTTAGAAAAATTTTCACTACATACTTGTAATAACTGAAGTAATCATGAATTTAGTTCCTTCAACAATATTGTTGATTAGTTTTAGATAATGTCTTTTAGATCATTGCTAAACTAGTGAAAATAATACGATCTTGCTTATTACTATTAATCAAAATAAATAATATCAATTAAATGACTACTGTCATTCATAATTGTTGTCCATAAATGTGAAGACAAACTACTGAAGAAACATTCGCTCACTTACTTGAATAATGTCTCCTTTAGAAAAGCTCAACAAATTAGGTTCATTAGTAACATAATTAGCTATGGCTCGCATATAAGTTGGCACCTATAAAATATATTTCTTTATTTTCATTTTTTCATTGAACACACAACTTGAAAGTATGTAAATACATTCGCTTTATTTTGCATTATTCCTCAAAACAGTGTGAAATGGTAATTTTTTCAGTTAATTACTTCATTAATGAACATATTTTAGATAATAGTAAACAGCCACAGACAAATTATTCGGTTAAAAAAATTTTTAACCAAATAATTTGTCTGAAAATTTTCAAAAACTATCTCATTGTATTAATTATTTGCATAAAATAAAATAAGACAATTGATCAAAATAAAAAACTCATGTTTATAATGCTTGTTAGAGTTTTCGGCTTGAAGGTTCTCATAAAAATATTATAGTATTGCATAATAGATTTTTTACTTTTATCTTTACATCGTATCAAAATAAGAAATTTTGAAAACTGTTAATCCCTCAGATTTTAAAAAACTTTAACCGTGAATTAATTGCCCATAAGTTTTTTATATCAACAACTAACAATATTTAATGTTAAAATTAAACACTTTTTTACTTTTCCTCCATTAACAGATGTCATCTTGCTTATTAATGATTGAATTTCTTGAGCATGTTCACTTCGCAGAATTAACTGTGGAATTTGACGTGTTTGAAAGCGTAACTGCTGCCCTGTATTGTCTAATTGCATATTAATAATGTCACCATATCTATAATAGTAAACAATCTATAAATATTGAAAAATGAGCAACTCAAATTGAATACAATAATAAAAAAGAGATTTCAGTCTTAAATTACTGCATCAGTTAATGAATTTTATGACTTACTCAAAATGCGCCCAACATTTCAATTCCATGCCATCCTTCTCATCTTGTCCTATCAATCTAAATAGAATACTGCACTAATTTTAAACGGTATGCAAAAAAAGGAAGTTTGCACTCTGAAAAATAGTAATAACTGAAATCACTGACCAATTTTTATTATTTTCACATTGAATTTAGCAAAAATGAAAGACGTACGTCAAGCCAGTTTCATGAACTGCTAGTATTCGACGTGATTTGACGATTTCCTCAGTAAGAGGATTAATGTGCTGATCAAGGACTAGAAATTGGACACTGAAGTAAAGCGGCCATTGTCTAGCGCACTGGATGACAGCTATTTTCACTTCCACTGGGATTTCCTGGAGATTATCCAGTGATGATGGTGGGATACGATAATTGCCTACAATATGAACTAATCTCAAACAAATTTAACTAATGCAATAACTGAAGTAATTTTTATAAGTTGAATAATTATATCATTCTACATGATATTTGTGCATTTTTTACACTCAATAAGAAATTCGACGAACACAGTAACTTAAATTGCAATCACAAACTTAAATGATATTTTTTTCCGTTATATTTTAAGAATAAACCATTAATGTCAGTAACATCAATTCCATTTTTTCCGAACAAAAAATCAACACGGCACTTACGTAAAATATTACTGACTGCATCACGCTCGTAACTACGCATTCGGTAGGCCTTAGGTTTACGACAATCGTTAATAATCTGCGCAAAAATAAGCTCAATTTCTTGTTCATCATTAAGTTGCTCATTTGGATGGAATATCTGAAAACTGTTTTATTCAACTTATAAATACTTAAAATTAAATATAATTTAGTAAAAGAAATTTTACTTTTTTACCTGTTTCTGTATTATCAAATTCCATGGTTGTTGAATGTATTGCACAGCTGGACGTTCACGTTGTGGCTCATTTTTTTGATCTAATTAATTATTTTTTAAGAATAATTGATCAAAAACATGGTCAAATAATGAGCAGTGTTAACTGATAAAATAATGTTAGAATTTTATACACCTATGCATGAAACTTTTAAAAGACATTGCTTTTTTATTGCACTAAATCTGTAATACCACTATTTATGAGATTTCATTTTTATTTGCATTCCTCAGTAAAATGGATTATTCAAAGAATGAAGGTCATGCAGAAGAATATTGACGAGTTAAAAAGTTGCATTTTAATAAGTTTACTGTATATTTGATGTTGTTGTTGATAAATAGTATGAAGTTGCTTGACAGGATCATCATCTTGCACATGATACGATACTTCTGGCAGGTGTTGTCGTGGTTGTTGTTGTCGAATGTTATTATCGTAGTACTGATTATTTCGACTTTCATCTTGTATGTAATATCGTTCTGTATATTGCTGTTGTAGTTTGGTTATTTCTGGTTGATAAACAGCTCCAATTTCGGCGATAGTTTGTGCTTGAGATTCTACTTGATTGAGCATTAAATCTGTCTCAGAAATCCATTCTCCATGAGTTTCTCTTCCTTCATCTATCTACAAAAAGTTTGAATATAAATTTCCAACATAGGTTTTACGAAAAAAAAAAAAAACAAGTTATCAGCAGCTGTTATACCAAATTTTTCCTTTAACGCTTTAAAAAGTCTAAAGAAAGCAATTTAAACAGTTCTAACCTTGTTGATGTTTGAAGGTACCATGGAATGAGATATTTGATGTTTCAGTTTTGGTGATTCTTCGATATGTGTTATATTTTGATTGCCTATTGAGTTTTGCAAGTCTTCAGATACTTGGACATGACGTCGAGATGGTAGTCCTGGTACATCTTCATTAAATTGAAAACTATGATGCTGGTCTTGCTGTTTGTGATTGAATGGATGAGTCATTTGGTAAAAGTAAGAATGCTTTAAATTCAACAAACGAGACGAATCAACTGGAGGTGGAAGATTCTGCAATATTTGTCTGCACAAATTATCAAATTACTTTCTTAAATGGTAAATATTACTTCAATAAATGTGTTCGTATGAAATAAATGACTTTTTGTGCAGTAAAAAAATGATAAATTAATTTACTTAACTCACTTACCTTTGCTTTTTCACTAATTCTTCTCAGTGCTTCATTTTCTAACTCAATGACATTCTGTACCATATCTTTACCTAGTAAAGGCAATTTACCAGGTATAGGACGGCCAGAATTCTGTGTTTCTCCAATTGCATTCCGTACTGTATGACCACCATATATTTTCTATTCAAAAATTATGTATAACTTTTGTTACACATTTATGCAAATTATTTTTTACGCTAAATGAGTAAATCAAAGTTCATATTTTCAGTGAGTACTTCTTTATTATCGGCAATTTGCTTAATTAATTAGTTAATATATACAAAATTAAGTGTGCTCGCGGTGTATAGCATACTTTTTAAACCAATTTTTTTAAATAGAAAATATGTTTGTATTTATCACTGCATCTTACATTATAAGTTGCAACCAATTGCATGAAATTATTTTCTGATATCGTTTCAGTATTAGTTGCAAACTTTACTTCAGGCACTGCAAGAAAATGTGATGATGGTTGTGGTGACCGTTGCAAGTACGTGAGTGGTCGTCGAGTTGAAGGAATGGAATGCATAGATGATGGAAGGGGTGGTGGAGGAGGTGGTGGTAGTGGTGGTAAGGATGCTGATGGCATTGTAGAATTCCAAGTAGACATTACTGTATCAGGTAGAGGTTTTTCTATAATTTTCATATATTGATAACAAAATGTTAAGAATAATAATTAATTTTTAATAAAGTAAAAGTATCTGCTCAATAATCCTTTCTTTTTCGTAAAAAAAACTCAAAACTTCAAATAATACCTAGTAATTTTATGTAAGAATTTTTGCAGAAATAAACAATTTACAATAAAAAAAGCATTAGTTTTGAGTATTCAGTAACGTGAATGTTAACGTATATTAAAAAAATATTCATTTTCATATCAAACATAAATTTCTGTTTAATTTGAGATACTCATTTTGTATTAATTATCTATTCCACTAATTATGTATGCCTATTATTTTTGCAAAATACTGACCTTGATAAGGTATTACTTCGCGTGCAGCTGTGCTATAATAACTATTTTCGTCTGTTTCAATTGGAGTAAATTGAGTTCCCACGTAACCTAATTCATACGCTTGGTGTTGAATATTTTGCTGGAATATTATAATGAAAAATATGAGCAGAAAAATTGCTTACACATAAGTGAAGTCTGGTCATTTGGATGTATTTAAGCGATAGGAAATTTTTTAATATTAATAAACAAGTACTACTTACTTTATGTTGCTTGTATTGCGAATTTCGAGTTGATTGTTGAAGACTTTTCAGTCCTTCGTTTGTTTCTGGATGCACAGGCCCGATATATCTGTGTTAGTTTCTTGTATGGTACGTATTTAAAAAATGATTCCATACCAAATATTATAAACGTTTTTGTAGTATGCTATATGCTACAAATTTGAATAGGACTTTAAAATTATTAGAAAACAATGAAAATGCAGCATAGAATCTTAATATCTAAAGTTGCATAATATCTCTGTTTAAGGGCTATTTGTCAAGAAACAATATCATAATTTGTCAGTTTGACCTTTGACAGAAAGTTAAAAATTTTCCCAAGTTTTATATTTAATATTGTTATTCTTAAGTTTAATTTTATAATTACAAAGTATTACCGGGCTTTAGCAGAAGTAGGTTGTATTTGTCCAACACGACTATTCTCGTCTAAGTTAGTAGGTGACTGTGCTGTTTCTGGATAGGGTGAAGAACGCTATAATATTATTTTGAAATACTGACTATTCATTAATATAAGCTGATGAATTTGTGATTTTTACTTATTATATCTGATTAAAATATTAAACTAACTGTAACAAACAAATTTCCTTACCGTCTCCATCTTCAATTTATACAAAAAATAGTTTGATTAGCTTAAAATTAATGAAATAAAGATAATTTTACCACATTTGTATTTATAAATTTGCAAATGATAAATGATTACATTTAATTTTTGAGCACTTCAAAAGCTTACAATTAGCATAGTTGTTGACGGACATAATGGTCCACCGTCATTATGCTGGAAGTAAGCGAAAATGAATGACTACAAAAATTTGAGATTTGAGGCATTTTTTCTAGACAACATTTTATGCACGCTAATTTGATTGCAAAGAGAGTAGTTGATTAATAATAATGTTTTTCTTATAATTTAAAAATTAAAAAAATGAAATTATGAATGCTACTTTTTTATCTTCTCACTTTTTATTATTATTTTAATTACAAATATAACAATTTATCAAGTTTTCTAGTTGTTACGAATGCAAGATTCATTTAATAACTTATTTACATATTAATTTTTTCATCTGTCTTTGAAGCTTACGATTATAGTTATAAAAGATCATATTAATGTTGGTAGAAACGAGAAAATAAAATGCAACTACCTCGCCATAACTATTACCATACGTTGTAGTCTTACTGTTATGACTGCAGCAAATAGTTGTCGGTGATAAAGTACGATCGTTCGGTTGTAAAACGTCAGTTAAGTTAGGAGCGATTCTGAAATTGGTTATTTTTCAAGTTTTATCGCAAAAATTTAGACTTATTCTTTACAATAATATTAAATTTTTGAATATTTTTGTAGAATTTTATGATCACGACTATCAAACTTTTATCTTGACACGTTAATGTAATGATAACATTTTTATAAAATGAGAAAGTACAAGCAAATAAAGATTGTTCGAACAAAGTGATATTAAAGCTATATGGCAACTGTTTAGTGGCTAAATTTTAAACTTAAAGAGCATAAAATTTCTTGAGAATTTTAACTTTTGTTGCTAATAAAATCAGTTTTGCCGGCTTGACATGAAGTTGAAATGCATGAAATTTCATCCTAATAATTTAATACACTTAAACTGAGTCATTATGAAGCAGTCATTATCCCATTAATAAGTAGAATTATCTTAAAGAGCAAAATTTTAATATGCTCAGATGCATTCACATTAGTTATAAAAAATGTTGTGATGACAGGGAGGGCAAGTAAAAATTGGAACTGTAAACAGTTTGATGCTAGAAGCATACTTTACTGTAAGCAGTTGTCATTATCTGTTTTTATACTCTTGTTATCAACTCCTATCATTTACTTTGCCCTTTCTAATGCTAAAAAATTGATGACAAAAAATTGTTTACATCACTATATCATTGGTTAATATGCATGATCACCAGGTAATTAATTAGTAGCTGAATGCATATATGTCGATTGACAAATTTTATGCATAAACGTTTTCCCAAGTCATCAAATTTTTTGGGGGCAAAAAAAAATTTGGTAGAATGTATCCTTGGTGTATAAACATCGAAGAAAAATTTCTTGTTTAAAACCAAAAAGGTAGTAGCTGCTGTTCTGGCACACTTTTTCTTTCATGGTAATCATTCACTTTTTTTGCCAATTTTAATTACAATATCTTGTCAAACAAACTTGACAGGTACTGGAGACAAGCATGTTGTAACAGTTGCTGTTGGTGTTGGCGACATGCACATCATCTCAAAATGTCATTTGTATTATCAAGAATTTGATTAATATGCATAATAATTTGCACGTAGTCATATGTTTAAAAACTTTCAATCATTTTACAGCACTGAATTTATGAAAGCTTAAACATTTTCATGAAAATTTTTAAAGTCAAATTTTATTTCCAAATTGGTTTTTGCACATAAAACTTAAACACGTAAGCTTAAATAAGAAAATTTAGCAATTAAATAATAATTTTTTTGAAATTACAATGTTTTGTATAAGTCTATTAATAAATTTGTTACAATTATGAATTCATGTCTTAAGAGACACCAGTAAAAATGCAGTTTCAAACTAACCGGTACCATAACCTGCACTACTGGTGATATAGTTGTATTATTAACTGCACCATCTGACAGTGAATTATTGCTGCACAATTGCTGCTGTTGCTCATGGTCTTGATTTGAAATAAACATACGACCTGAAATTTCAACACACGCATATTTGTTTATGAATGCGGTGAATACATTTCTATAAGCAAACAACAAGTGCTACCATCAAATGGTAACATCATCATCACTGGTTGCGTCGCATAATTTACAGTAGTGGTTGTTGTTGCTGCAGTGGCAAATTGTTGAGGAACCTAAATTAAGTAATGGTAATTGTCTAGATTATGTAAGCAACACGTATGTAAAGACTTTTAATAGCGATCGTTATTAACTTTTTATATTGCTGGAAATTAGGATAAGAAATACTCACTGATTGCAAAGTATCATTAGCATCTGTAGTTGTAGTACCCTTAATTGTGGAAGCTATCATTGCAGCATTCATTCTACCATCATTAGTTCGTTCTAATTCACTTGCTGGTAACACCTGTCGGAGTATTTTTTAACATCTATGCAAAAACTTTTAATAGTTAACTTAATTTCGTATTATTCGTTATTAACTTAATTTGAGTTTAAACTGCCACTGATTGTTTGAGCAGTTTTAATTTGTTAAAAGCACTGCTTGTTTAAATATTTACTCGACATATAATTTAATATTCAGGCTTGAAACTAATTTTGATATATATTTGAATGATTGAAGATTAGTGCCTGCTCAAAAATGGCATCTAAGAACTGATCCACGTCACTTGCTTTTGTTGGAATTTGCATACGTCTAATTCGAGTAGAAACAGATGACTGCTCTGATGGCGCACTTACTAACGATTCTTCTAAAAATAAAGTTTTTAAATTTTGATTCAGTTTAAACGACTAAAAGCATGAAGATGAGATCGAATTCATTGGCCAATTTTCATAAATATCCCAAGAAATTAATTGAACAATCGTAAATTGATGAAGTTTTTACCAGTAGTTGTCTGATTGGATTGCTGCTGTGGCGTGGTACAACACAAAGGACGTTTAGCTATTTCTTCGTGCTGTGGTAGAGACGATGATGTCTAAAAAATATGATTCTCAAGTTCTCAATTAATGTTTTCTAAACTCAAATAATTCATTCATCTTCCTTGAGATGTGCTTATCGAACTTTTGATTTTTTTAAAATTTTGGTGACTTTGTAGATTGAAAAATGGATGTGAAAAATTTCCTTACTGCCAGACTGTCAGAATGATTTTGTTGTTTTTCGTCACTCTCAACAGCATTCACTGCAAAAGTTGGCAATACATTTGTTGCATTCACCTGTCCGGCAATTAGTGATTGTTGTTGCCCTAGTAAAAAAATATACAAAAACAATAAAAAACTAAACAGAGGGATATATTAAAAATTTATTAAGCTAATATTGGAACAAACATTACTTTAATTTACTCTAATAATATAATTTTCATGTTGTTTGGTACTCTAAAATGATTGATTTGATACATTTTCAGTACAAATAGTTGATCTATATTGTGCCTTACCAGCACCGTTTTCCATGGATGAAACAACTGATGTTTGCAGATTAAGAGAAGTTACAGGTTGTGTCGGAAGAAATGATGTTGTAGTTGGAAGCATTACTGGCATGAACTGTAGCTGAGCTGGCACCAATGGCTGTAACATAGAAGTGCTTAATTACCAGGTCACATATATTTTCAAATATTCAATATATACTTTGATATCTTCTAAGTAGTATGGAAAAAATAGGTGTGGTAGAAAATTTTAGATGTTAAATTTGTTAATTATGGAAGCATTTTGAAATGTAATCATGATAGTATCTATGTCTGCTAACCATTCATCAGCTTTTCAGAAGACAAAAATGCAATAAACTTTGTAGTAAACTGCCAAGCTCTGTCTGTTGAATAGTAGTTAATAATTACCGTTTTTATGATCCATAGGTAGCATTTTTGTGCCAAATAATTCATAAAATGAGATTATGTGCATCAATGTTTATATAAATTAATTACTAAGAATTAAGTAATTGCTAACTTTTACCACAGTAGTAGCTGTAGCAAAGTGCTGTGGTATGTAAGCATAATATGATTGCTGATTTTGTTGCTGTTGTTGAAATTCAAAAAACTGCTGCTGCTGTCGTCTATAACGTTGCAAACTATCATCATATTGCTGTGCTTCTTGTTGTTGTGGTCGTTTTTGTTGTTGCTGAAATATATTATTATACAAGCTGCTTTGATAAATAACAAAAGTATGATTTGAAATTAAAATTTTTAAAGACACTAACATTAAGTTTACCATCCATCGTACCATCAGCATTATTACCAGTTGGTCTTGCTGTAGTCGAATATATAACATTACTGTATGTGCCTTCATCGTAACGCTTAGAATTTACTGCTGTATCACAACAGTCATTATTAACAATGTCTAAAATTACAATGTAAAAATAATACTAAAGTAAAATAAACAGCAGTAAAACCTTGTTTCATTTAATCAAAAAGATAGTTACCCAGAGTTTGATTGGCGTTGTATCGCTTGTTTAAAGTACTTGTAAGGGATAATTCTGGAGCTGCTAGCTGCTGATGTTGCTCGCTATGTAAACACTTCCTATAATAATTTTAATTATAATTTGTTTTCAAGTTTAGCATATTTCATTGATTTGAAAGTATTACAAAAAAGAAAAAATGGCAGTACTACTTAGTTTATTTTTAGAAATGAAGCAATTACTCCTTGTTTTTACAGAAAATATAAACTGAGTGAATTGTCTTTGATAAAAAAATTTTAAAAAAAAGATTTACATATCATTTCTTTCGTTTCCTTCCTCACTTATAAAATGTTGCTGTTGTTGTGAAGACTGATGTAAGTTTGGATTCCATTGTGATAACGGTATTGCACGTAGTTTGTTGTCATTGTCTCCGTACTCAGGCAACAGATCTGCTGATTTTTTGTAATTTGAAGTTTTGGGTGAGCATTCTGTATATAAATCAGGCTGTATCCTTCGTAAAGCGTACATTACTGGTTGTTGTGCTGGCTGTGTTGAGAAACGATTGTTCTGATTACTTTGCTGAAATAATATCATGTTCATAGCTTGATTAATTTCTTGTAGCATTTATAGTTGCAAAAATGTATGGGAGATAAAATTGTTCATATTTGACATATTACAAACAAATATTTCTAAAAATGTTCTGTTATCCATCTTACTATCAGTATTACTGAATAGTTAATTAATTAACTTGCCTAAAAACTGAATAAATTCTAAATACTTACCTGTTGTATACTCTCTGCTGGTTGTTTATACTGTTTTGCAGCACTCAGATTCTCTTCATCTTTAGTTTTGTTCCAGTTAATACTGTTGTTAAACATTACAAACACTTCTTTGTTATTCTCTGTAATTAATGCAATCAGAAATATTCTTTGAAAACATTAAAATTAAAATCTGTGAAAAAAAAGCAAATGCATGAACCTGTTTGCTGTTGCTCCATCTGCGCCATTACATCATACACATAACACGTTCCAGGAGCGTACAAAGAAAAATTTTCGTCTTCTGCGCTTATTGTCCAGCCATCTGGATCTCCAATTCCTCTACAAAGGAATAATGGCTATTGCTAGTATAAATGATTTCGAATTTTACAAAGCACTAAGCACAATGTTTCGTTCCAAAAGCATTACCGAGTTTGTAAGCATTTTCGAGCCAGCTCATCTGCTGTCATCCAAGAATGTGCTTCAAATGATGCTTCTTGCTGATCAGCAAATTTGATCCGTAAAATTGTTGGTTGCTGTTGTCTGAAACTAGCCTGAAAATAGAAATTTTCACTTTTTACTAAGAACTGATCAAGTATGCACATTTTGAGAATGATGTGACGACTAAAATTGTGATTAATGACTATCATTTATCACTGTTGATTGCAGATAAAGGCAAAACGATAAGCCATAAGAATTATTTATTTGTACCAAAAAAGTTTTCGTTGTAACTACTATTATCATCAAAAAATATTTGATTTCAGTGTTACATTCAGAATTTATTTCCTCTAGGAAGTGATAATTTATTAACCTGTTCAAGAAAAGTTGGCGCAAAGTACCGGCATTTTGATGTGTTATTCAAACGAATGCATTGTCGAAGTAAGCCATTCATAATCTGACTACATAAATTTGGTGTCTGCTGCTCAAAGTAACTAAAAATTTTAATATGTTAATAATGGAAATTAATGAAGCATTGTTTGATAATTTTTATTATTCTTCTGTCCACATTATTACAAATTTTAATAACTTTTCACTACTCTTAATAGCAAATTTATTTTTGCAGTGAGAATTATACAAATTATTACGAAAAATCACTTTGTTTGGAATCAAATATAAATTTTTGATTGTACCATATTTTTGAATAACATACTTAATAAGAGCAGGGAGTAACTGTGGTGTGGGTGCAAAGCTATTTACAGCCCCCAGAAGTAATGCCCAAGCTTTATCAGCATTGTTTTTAACTCTATTCTGATAAGTTTGAGCGCAAAGTTGTACCAAAAGTTCATCTCTTTGTGTCGGATTATCTACTGCCTAAATGACAAGTTTTTATTTTACTTTGATATTTCTATAAATAAATTTGCAAATAAAAAATTTTTAGTACTTACTGATTTACAAGTAAGCTGTTTTAATGCTTTAAGGTTCAGAAAATTTTCATAATGATAATAAATGAATAATCAGAGCAGTAATAATTATAGTGAATTTAAAGTCAAAAGAATATAAATAAATTATAAATTATGACAGAATTGTCAAATAATAAACTGACGAAACTCTAAAGTGAGAAGTTATTTTGGTCCTAAGTGGAAGCAAAAAACTTTAAATACAATCTTAATTCAAAAGCAAATTAATCTAAAAATATAATGATAAAATAAATGTATGAAATGAAGTAAAGTGGTAGTTCGAAGAATCAGAAATACAATTAACTCAAGTCAAATTTTTTGGACCTTTAAGATTTTTGAAGTATATTTTAGATTTTAACAAAATTTTTTTTTACAATTTGTATTATTGCTTTGCCAAGAATGGCTAATTGTTCGCAGTTCATTTCAGTATCGTTCATATATCGTAAAATCATTGCAAACATCTCCAAAGATTGCTTAAAGTCTTGTTCTGTTTCTTTATGCAAAAATGGAGTTGCGATTGGTTCACGACGCATTTGAAGCAAATGACCCTCAAAATAATCATTGCTAATTATACCAAAAGCTTGACTTTTTATAAAAAATATATTTGGTACAATTTTAATGTCTCAAGTTTTGGATTAATTATTTTTTTTTACAAACTTTTATTTAAACATATAAATTTATGTGCATGCAAAAATTTTCATTATTCAATTATTTGCTTTCAGTACTTTACATATAATAAATGATTATTTGCTAATTGTAATTAAAAGCATACTTTGAAGTTTTTCTCTGCAAATTCTTCGATTGTTTGAGTTGGCAATTGTAATGGTTTAGCAATACGTTTGTTGTATGGGATGTAGTGATATACAGTTCGTATACCAGACATTCTGGAGTGATTTAGTTCAATCATCCAGTTAAAATTTAATGAATTTCACTCACCGATTATGTTGATTAAAAATATTTAAGGTTCATTTCTGATTAAGACAAAATGACATGAGAAAATATTTTACCTTCCAGCAAATAAATTATTATCCAAAACTTTTTTAACATGTTTTGGTAAGTCTAAATACTGTACGCCCGCAAGAGATGACATTTTATTAGCACCATTGCTAGTACTGACTGTAACACCTTTGTTTCCAGACCCTTCCTCTGCTTCTGCATACAAATTTAGGCGACGTGTTTTACGTGTTTCTATATCAATGGCTCGACGGATTTCTTTCCGACGACGATCCACTTCACGCCTTTAACAAGTAAATAACCAAAATTTGCCTAACTTTCGATAAAACTTATTTTGCTTAGAAATTTGTCTTATGTAATGACTAAAGTAAACATATGATTGGAAGCATGTTGATTTACCTTGCACGCCAGCCACGTAAACCCGACTGCAAAATCACAGCTGCATGTCGTTTCTTCGTAAATTTTAGTTCTGCCAACCATTTACGCACATTTTTCTGTATTATAGTAGCAGAATGTTCTAGTAATATATCACGTTGTGTTTCTAAGTGTTCACGTAGCGGCTCACGCATAAATAATTGTGTTTTCCCTAAAAGGCAAACAATAGCTAGCAATTTCAAAAACTTTTTCATAACTGAAATTTTTAACTTATGAACACATCAGAAATACCATAAAGCTAACGAGCTAAAAAATTATCTCTATATCATAAAATGCTTTTACCTAATTTATAATGCTGATGGAATTTGTTGCCTTGCTGTTCGAGAATATCTCTTGATATTTCATATACTGTTTCATACTGAGTAATGTTAAATGGTAGTAAGCAGCGAAATCTAAATTGCTCAGTGATTTATATATAATTATATTTTCATTAATTATAAACCAGTATTTTTGCTTGTTTCACTTTTTTGAAAAACTTTGTGCAAAATATGAAATAGAATTGAGCATATTTGGATGACTGATAATCATTAAGAGTGTGTAAAATTCAGTAAGATTAGCAAACCTAGCAGCAAAGTGATCAAAGGTATCGTGATAAGGAAATCCAAAGCGATAGTTGTTAGTAGTTGCAAGTAACGAAAGAGATTTTATTTGACGTGCTATTGTTTGAGGACAAAATTTCAGCCGTTCACGTTCTTGATTACTGCGTAAGCAGCGAACAAATTGTACATTACCTCTGAAATATTCATTTAAATAACAATCAAATTCTGTATATAATAATAAGTTTAATAAATATATTCAACTACTAAAAAGGCCAATAAAAAGCTTTGAGAATAATTTTGTTAATTTCAAAAATAAATTGATGGTATTAGAAAATAATTTATCCTAAAAATTAAAATTATGAGTTATTTATTGAATGAGTTTATTCAAGTAAAGAGATCTAGCTGGATAATAAAATCTTACTTGTTCATTTTATCAATGAGTCTTTTGGCACTTTGATTATATCTTTGAGCAACATAAATTGTTTCATCTAACGGTTGCTGTTGTGTTGGTTTTGCTATGAAACATCGAAACATTTGAGCAACAAACTATAAAAAATAATATTTCTTTTGCAAAAAGCTTAAAATTGAAAGAAATGCTTTGTACATTAGATAATGTACTAATTTTGTAATGAGCTTTATTTGATAACGTGATAAAAATGTGATAATAATTTTTTATCTGTCAGCAATAAACAAATTTCATACCGTATTTTGGCTACTGGCAAGTAATTTTATTGTTTCGTATCGAACTTGCAAACGATTTTTTTCTACAAACTGAGTACAATCGTACCATATTTTGCCAGCATAATGACGAACAGCAAATTCAAATTTATCTGTCGATGCTTTATCAATTGTTTCAGAAGTGAACGTTGATTTTGCTTTTGTGGTGAATAAGTGTTGAGAAGATTGTTGATGATTTAGAATGCATTGCTGTAAATAACGCGCAGCCATTGCCTGCAAAAGATCAACTTTCGCTTTGGGTTAAGCGAATTTTTATAAGCTATTTGTCAATTTTAATAAAATGAAAAAGATTCTTATATTTTTTACTATTGCAAAAAAAAAAACCACACACATATAACTAATTATTCATGAAATGAGTTTTAAATTACAATGAAAATACTGAATTGAAGTACAAGTATGTTTAGATTTTTAATTTGCACATGATATATCATATCATATTCGTGCTTGAATTGGTGTGATTAATTCAAAAAACATAGCTTGCTTAAATATGGAAAAAAGTTGCAAGTAATATTATTGAAAAATTGTTTTGGCTTCATAATTAAAAGCAATAGTAACCTTAGGAAATTTCGACTCATCATCGAGCAGTGGGAGTAGACCATTTGGACGTTGAAGAAGTAATTCAATCACAGCTTCATTATCGAACCACTGGATGGACTAAAGTATAAATTTCAATAATTTCAGTATTTTATATACAATTATGCAAATATTATCAATTAAGAATATAAATTTTACCTGTAAATCAACACCTGCTATGCCTTCCTTTTGATACTCGCACTGTATATCCTTCAGAATTTTTTTCTGGTAATAGCATTCTAATCGTTCGTTGAATAAATTAGTGCAAAACTGTTCAAATCCATTCATACCAGTAGAACGCTACAAATATAAATCATTTATTCAATCATAAATGAACGAATAATTACTTCAATAAAAAATTTTGTACATAAAAAGTTTTTCTTAAAATAAACATAATGAGATGCCTCAAATCCAAAGCAATCTGCAAGTATTATTTTTGCAGTATTATTATTACGACAATTGTATCCATTCATTGTTGTTAAATTAATGCGTTGTAAAAGCCAGTCAAATAATTGCTGATACAATAATTGTGCAAGAGAATCTCTAAAATAAAAATTAGAATAATTTAAGTAATTATTCTTAAATTTTTAATAACAATATTACAATATAAATTGTAGAAAATGCAAAGCCATCATTTCAACACTGTAAACAGGTTAATTTTATTAAAATTACAAGTATTGTAGTTAGAATTCTAAAAGTAAAAAGTACCTCGCATCTAGTGCCTGGTCAATAGTCAAAGGCATAAATACAGTCTCGTCCTCATGCTTTGTCTTCTGAAAATATCATTCAGATTTTTAATTATTTTTTGAGTTATACAAAAACTTTCGCATCTATGATTTGCTGGAATTCAGTGTATATTGAACAAAATTTTATAAAAACAGCCACATTTTTGAAATCAGAAGCTACACTTTTATGTCCTCATACTTCTTACAGTAATACTTTATTACTTAATAAATAAGAAGTATAATTATTTATTCGAAAATTTATATTTATTGCAATGTCAAATTTTTCTAAATGTTGTATAGAATAAACAATCTTACTATTTGTTTTTGAATTAGTAATTGATGAAGTGATTCTAATTCAACTTCCAGCAAATATGAACACCATTTCAGCTCTTGTCTATTTCCGATTTCAACCACACTTGAAATCTCACTGTGTGGCATATTTGTTCCATCACTGGTATTTTCATTCATTTCGCTTCTCTGTACGGTATTTATACTGTTTTAATAAAAGAATTAAACCTTATCAGTAAATTGATATTCAGCTATCTAATCATGAAGGTTTGAAATATGCTTCAAACCTGACAAAGATTTGTAAAGAGGAGGCAAAGGTTTACTTTCATTTGTTTAAAGAATAAATTTCCAATATGCATGATAACAGCAAGAATGCGTTGAATAAAATTTTGTTGATGTTCAGTAATATCTAATAATTCCAAAGACATGCATAGATTTTCGTACTTTTGACGCTCTTTCATTGAATCCAACGAAACTTTACCCTAAATAACGATCACATAGTTAAAAAATGATGGATGTTATTCAAAATTTTGCTGTTTATTATCATTTAAAAAATATTCACTGAAAGGAGATTTGCACAAAATTATTGATAATTATATTCAATTAGTACATCAGTATGATTTTTATTTTTGATTGCTGTATTCATACACTTGCCTGATTCAGGTAAAAATGTTGCTGATCATCTTTCAGACCCATTTTATGCTTTTCGCTTGTTTCCATTCCAGCACAAAGTTCATAAAATATGCTGAAATTACATTCACCCAATCGTTGACTTACAATTCGACCCGGTTCAACATATAATTGGATTTGCTGAGGTTGCTGTTGTTGTTGTTTTTGCCGTTGTTGTTGATGATATTGTTGTTGAGGAATGGTTTGAATCGAAAAACCAATAAGACTTTTGCTAAAATGTTAAATATTCATGATATGAATTTTGAAATTGCTAACTTTCAATTAATTTTACAATCAGTAAAATTCACTTTTTTTAATTTTTTTTATAAAAATAATAAAAATAATAGTAAATTACTTTCGATAGACAAATTCCATGCAGTAACTCATTCTAGTTCCTTGAATATTTTTTGGTGTTCGAGCACTTGCGAATGCATCTAATATCCGTTCTACAGCTTCCAACTATAAGTTTAATGTAATTCATATGCTCAGATTTGAATTTTAATGAGTTTATTAAAAATCAATGACCAACAATAACTAATATCATAAATATTTAAAAATTATACTTTGAAAAAATTTCAATTTCAGTCAGATATTTGTTGATTTCAATATTTAACTTTAGCTCTTTTTATTTTTTTTGTGTAATTTAACACATTTGAAGTGAATGAAACATTTCATTGCAATTTTGACTGATGATTAATTTAATAAGTTCAACTTGTGAAAAAAAAATTATAAGACTCAAATTTTAAATATAAATTGAAAAATAAGTACTTGTTTCACACTTATTGCTTGCTTATGCTGAAATTCAGTATTGATAAAGTAGGTAGCGCAACGCATAAGATTATACGTTTTACCAGAACCTGATTCACCACTGCAAAAATTTCAAAAACTACACATTACATTTCATATATTTGCGTTAATTTTGAAAATTATTCAGAAACAAATTTACGGTTAAAAAGTTTGATAACTTGCAATAATAGTTAAATAATTACCAAAAACAAATTGATTCATGTTTTGAGTGCTCATTTTCAATACGTGCCAAAGCTTTTTCAGCTACAGAAAAGATGTGCCTGTCAAAATAAAAATAATTTCCTTTAGTTTTTGCATAAATATATTCTTACATTTAATAATTAACCAGGAAAAGCTGATTAAGAATGACCACAGTGCATAAAATTAGCTCTATATTACTGAGAAAATAAATAAAATTATAATCTTTAGAGGATTGACAAATATTAATTAGATATAATAAAAGAAACGATCAAAAAACTCGAGTAACTAATTTTTCAGATCAGTATGTTTTGGATATAAAACTTGAAACTACTTTAAATCCTTTTATATTTGATATCAAATCAACAGCATGTTTTACTATATAATTAAGAAAAAACTAATAAATTAATTTTGCAAACGAAAGATTGATCTAATACTTGAAATAACAATAAAATTCATTAATTCAATCAGTGATAAGGTAGAGGTGGAATGATTATTATTCATCCGTTCCATTACATTTGAATATATTAAGTGCATATAATATTCAATCAGCAATATGCTATTAATTTTTGTTTTTTTAAATTGTAAATTTATAGTTAAGTTATGATTTACGGTAAAATTTGCGTTTATTGTAAACTTTTAGCATAAAATAAACGCAAAAATTACGCTGGCAAATTGTTTACACGGCGACACCGCCTGTACAATTTTTGCACGTTGTAATCGTAAATTGGTAGGAGAGTGTCATATGGATTTAATACCAGCAGTACATCGCCAACAAATGTCTGTAAATTTGTCGTAATAAAAATGTATTTTGGCAGTAAATTTGATGAATAACTGAAGGTGAATAATTTTAATTTACTATTTTTTAAAATGGATAAGTTTGAATAAGAAATAATTTCGGTCAGATAAACAAGCAGAGCAATCATTGCAGATTCACAATGATACTGTTGTAGATCACTTGTACTCTTAAGATTTCTAGTTTGCTTCAAAATAGCAAACTTCAACAGTACTGGTCAAAATCATTAAAAACATAACTACAACTTAATTAATTACTTCTACAATTATATCACTTTGTGAACATAAAATTTCAATAATCTTTTAGGATGCGCAGCATTAGAACTACAAATGTCCTAAATCTTTCAAATTCTAAAGTCCTAAGAATCTTAGTAGTACTGTTTTACCATAAAATTTTGTGAATTTTTAAGTATTATTGAGAACAACTTAAAATTAGCACTACAGCAAATTAATTCGTTGAAATCATCCGATAAAAGATTCATAAACATACATAAAAGCGTTTAGCATCGAAACGTTTTCTTAAAGCAAATAATATAGCTGATTCCGATTCATCCCTAAAATATTAATCATTAATTATGCAAATTTAATTTCGTTCGATTTATATTTTCAAATATAATTGACAGGAAGGGATTCATACCTTCAAAAGTCAGCAAATTTTTGCTTAAGTTAGTAATAATTTTTCTCAAATTTTTGTGCAATGTAATATGACTTTATTAAAAGCTTCCAAAAAGCATACGGAATCGTTGCTAAATTCTCAGTATTTGGATCAAATAGTTTTCGTCCTAGCAGTCTTACAGTATTTTCCATCTGAACAACTTCACCCTGTAATTTACTATTGGAAGCATTACTTTCATCAACAGATTATTAGGGCTCAAATTTTACATAAATAACTTAGAAGAATAAAGAAATGAAAATTCGTTTAAAACCAACAAATTTTCACTCGAAATTTAAACTTTATTATGATTAATGAGTACAAATTGATACAAATTTAAATTTTCTGATGAAATTAACTTATTAAAAAACGTTCAGATGGGACAGGTAAAAATGTACAGATTCATTTGAACTTTATAAAATAGAAATTATACAAACATTCTGAATACACTGAACAGTAAGGGGCTCAGTCTCAATTACTATCGCTGGTTCCCAAAGAGCTTTTCCGTTATTTACAAAAAGCCAAACTGGTTGACCCTAAAATTACTTTCAATACTTATCATTTTTTTTTGAAAAAGCAGTTATTTTTTAGTAGAAGATATTTTTCGTTTGAATATTGCATTATAAGATAAAAATATCGAAATCCAAATTATTAAATTTTTTTAATTTAAATTATTTCAACTTTGTAACACAAAAAAAGTTATTGGTATCTATGTTTGGTTCACTGATTTTTCTTACTTTTTGCTACAAAAAATAAATTTATTTTACAAAATTTAACGTATTTCATGAATAATTTTGAATATTTCTGCAAGATTAGTTATTTTATAAATATGCCAACATTTTTATATAATTTAATTTTTTCTTAAAAACATTTTTGTGGTTTTATCTTTGTGATTAAATGCTTTGGTGTTTTTCATCATTTGTGACTAATTTTTTATTTTTTATTTCTTTACACAATAAAAATTAATTCTTTCTTTTTTCATTACCAATTATCCAAAAATATCACCAACTGAAAATAGAGATTGATAAGTGGATCAGGTTAGTGGGGCGCTTTTACCTCTTCCTTTAATTTCAATTTCATAGAAAAACAAGAACTAACTAACTACTTTGATTATTTTTGATGTATTATCAAAGATTTGATCAAATAATGTAAATAAAACTTGTCTCTCATGTTATATTTTGCTGTATGATTTTTGGGTCATCTCATGGCATGATATATCTTAAACAAATACCTTAATTTACTTCTAATTTACACAAAATTCAATCAAAATAAAAATTTTTTTCTTATTAATTTTTGTTACTTCTATTGTATTTCATATATGCATCCTAATTATTCAAAAAGTATTACCTTGAAATTTTTCAGACTCTAATAGCAAACCATTTACTTAAACCTTAATAGCGCAATAAATTTTGCATTAGATTGAAAATTTTCGACTTTTTCTTATAATTTATTATTGGTTGAAAGATTTTGGTTGATAAAAAACACTAACAAAATTATTTATTGCTTTAAATTTGTGTCACTTCAAATTTTACAATTCACATTTTGTACCAAAGTTTGACAAATTTAGTAATAATATGATGGCAATTTTTTCAAACATAAACTCTCAGTAGTAATGCAAAATAAAAAAGTTGAATACCTTATGAACAGCATTAAGCATGTTGCTTAATCCGTAGGATTGGAACTGCTGTGAAAAAAGTTTTCCGATTGATATTTTTTTATTTCACTTTCAGCTGTCGAAGGACAAAAATGAAAATAAAATCGCTCTAAAAATTCACAATATGGAACTAAATAATAAAATGAATTTTTAACTAATTACAGTATAAATTATTAGCTAAGCGCGCCAATACACCATGGAAAATCAATAATCTCTTAATTAGGAAAAAATATCACCGAATTTTAAAAAGAATTCACTTAATATGAAATTTTAATTAAATGAATAATATATGAGAAAAAAAAAATAGGAAATCAAAGTTTTCTAAAAGGAGAGAATATGAATTATTTTTTAAATATTGCATGAAAATGATCTGGAATAATGAGCGCTGATAAATAATTTGTAAATTATATTATGAATGCTCATTTTGAATGAAATCAAGTCAACACGTTTTTATTCTGTTATCGAATCTTAGCATCAAAATCCATTTAAATAGGATTTGTGTGAGATGAAAATGATTATAAGTTTTAAATATCTAAACAAAGAAATTATGAGAAGCGGGAAGTATTAGGCTAAAAATAGCAGAAACTAAGGAATTATTACACGTTTTTGTTCAATATTTTGAAAATGAATTTTTAGCATTTAATATGCAATCGTTATAGAACTAAAAAAGCAGTAATAAAGTTAGTGAACATTTTTTTTTGAATCTGTACGATATAAAAAATTGATGAAAATCAATGAAAATAGTGTAAATGTTTTAAAAAAAATGCCAAACTATTTTTGAACAAGTTTTACAGCAAATAAAACCAATTAATAAATTATATTGTATACTATGAAATAATAGTAGTGTACCCACAGTGGAAATAACTAAAATTGGGTAATTTTAAAGAACGTTTGATAGAGCGAAATTGAAGAAAGAATTTGCGTTGATGAACGGTATATTTCAGCGGGGGTTCATGACCGTTTTCGGGGTTATCCAGCCCCTTTTACCATTGACCCTTTCCTCAACTTAACAGCACGTACAGTCTTGCGCACTTTTTCCTCCCATTACTAATTAACACCTGTTTTCGGTGAAAGGTACCAAGCGTTTGCTACGTGTTTATCATTTCATGATTGCACTTGATCACATATATCATGCAAATGTACATCTTAATATCAAAGTTTCATTTCTATTGCAAAAAATTCAGTTCAATTTATGAAAAAAAACTAAACAAAGTAAACTTAATTCATATCTTTATTTTTACATTGCTAACGTATTTTTTTCAGCATGCAAAGGATGGAATGGTAGAAATTAATGCATAAATTATCTGCTTAATACAATAAAACACTTAATACAATACTATTTTAATTAATAATCGACAAAAATTACTTGTTTGAAATGACTGAAAAGTATAAAAATTTTCAAATAACTGACAAATTATGACAACGTTGAGTTAATTTCACTTTAAAGTAAATAAAAAACTTGTATATCAATGATAAAGATTCATTTTTTGATACGAAAATTTTGTTTTCTTCTATAATTCAATGGATTAAGTCAATAATTTTCAGAGTAAACGACTTACTTTTGAATTATGAGACAATTACCTACGTCAGTCTTATTAATTTAAAAATTGATAGTTTAGATAGATTTCAGTTAATAAATTAACAGCATCAAATCAAAAATGAACCAAATACTCAAACTAGTTTTTGTAAATTTTTTGTTACAAGTTGAGGTTTCCGCTGTTTTTTACACCACTGCAATTTGTTAATCTAACCAGTTGATAATAAGAATAATGATAGATCTGTATTATTTGTATTATTATGATAAACTTGATTGCAGCATCCAAGTAATGCACTTATAATTTTCACGTAAAAAACGTTTTGAAAAGTGACTTTAATAAACTAGTGTAAGAATTCAAATTTAACTCTTTTTTTTGTTTGATTGTTGTTTTATACGAAGAAAAAAAATTTAAACTCACTACAATACTTCTTAATTAATTAATATTCTTATTATTATCACAAAGTTTGTTATGCTGCTCTTTTCTGTAAGAGCAGAATTTGCAGCAAGTAAGCCTTAAAGTCAATATTGACAATTAAAATTATTTAATATTTAAAACTTGTACGACAAAAAAAAGTAAAAAAGTTTAATATGGGACAGCCTAATTTTGAGCATTTTATGAAGATATGAAATAAGTTGAAGTTGAAATGAAAAATGAAAAGTATGATACAAAAGTGTAAATGAAATTGCGCGATTGTTCATTCCACATTCTTATGGTTAGTACATGAATTATCCCACTGATTTTGCCATTTTTCCTCATTTCATGCAACAAACAGAAACAAAAATCGCAGTCATTATAGCACTTTTTAATAATTAAAGAATATTCAATTGCAAGCAGTTCAGTTTTAGTGTTTGTTTAACTTAATTAGTATGAGTGATTTTGTTTTGTATGACAATTAATAATTTTTGCAGGCTTGATTTAAATTTTTATTGTTCTATAAATTTAATTCTGAAGCAATAATAACTTATTACTTTTGAAAGCTAAAAGAACTGTTCTCTTTTGTTTTCAACTTTAAAACAAGTGCGAAGTCAATGATAATAATAACTCAAAGTTTTAAAAGTTTTTAAGATTTTATAATATTTTGTAAATTTGAAAAAATATTGCGATGCATTAAATTGGATATGATAATAATTTTTTATTTAATTGATAGGACTAAATTTCGTTAAATTGTAGTAAACTACAATTGTTTCATTGATACGATTTTTCCATGCATATAATAAAATTCTCGAAATACAAAATCTGATTTTTTTCAGCTTCCCATTTTTTAATAAACAAATTTATCATTATTGTAACAATGCCAGTGGTGATTATGGCAATAATTAAAGTATTTATTCACAGTGTCATTTAAGATGATAAACGTGAAGTTTAATGCAAGTCAACAAATATGCATTACATCTGCTATGAATACAAGTTATTAAAAAACTGATGATTAAAAAAAATTATTTTAATTATCATTTCGTTAATCATGGAAACATCCGTTATTTCATAAATAATATGTAATTATGTGACATAATTTGTATAATTATGTGAATAATAAAATAAAGTATGACTTGTTTTATAAAAACAAAGCAAAATTAAAAAAAGAATATAAATATTAACATTATCCAGCATATAGTTAAGCAAGCTTATTAAAGAGCAAGCAAGCATAAAATAAAGATAAAGCAAGGATAAAATTTTTATCCTAAGATGCTACTGTTAAATTTTTATTCCTGTCTATTCATAATTTCTAAGTTCATAATTTTATAACTGTTCAAGTTTAATATTAGTTATTGTAATATATACTATAACTTTAATTGTATGAATACTTATTATCAGCAACTTTTTTCATTATATAATATCAAAATTTTTTGTTTTTTTTCCCACATCTTAATATATTTTCAGTAATAATTGTGCCTAGAAGGAAAGAATTTGCAAAAATTGCTGATAATTTATGATATCTATTCATAATCGATGGAGCAATAATATGTTGCGATAGTGTGCATAATCATCTTAAATCTAATACATATGCACAGATCTTTCTTTTCAGTAGCGCAGAAGAAATTCTCAAAAGTGTGCTGATAATTTAATATTACTTCAATAACATAATCCTACATTCCTGTGATAATTTGTCCTATGTTTCAATTTATTTCATTGTATTCAAATAATAGTAATTTTGTTTAATTGTATGAAAATCGCAGAAATATTATTTGATGATAAAGAAGATATGATATAGGAAACTATTATTTGAACTATATAAAAAGACAATGTGTAATTTAAGTTATTGTTTGTTAATAGTTATATTTTTTAGTAATATATACATTTTTGCAGTAATACTTCACACTCCAAATAATTGATTTTTTCAAATTTAAATGAAAGTTGTTGAATTTGACTGATTGCTACTTTAATATTTAATGGAACATTTAGATTTTATTGTTACTAATTATGTTTTAACTGCCTACTTATTATTTGGTCATATTTAAAAAATGCAAATATCAGAGTGTGATAATTAATTTAATAATATTTTCTGGCTTTAAGGATTATATTTGAAATTATTTGCCGATTACTGATGATTATTTTCTTAAAATTGTTATAGTATAATAACCTGAAATGACTGACTTATTTTGAATTATCTTTCAATGCATTAAGTTGAATGAGTCATTTGAAGTATTTTCGCTGACAAAATTTTACAATAAATTTTGTAAATTGTTTAGACTAACCATTAAATAAGCACTAAAATGAAGAAAAAATATTAAAGAAACAATCATGTTTGTTCTTTTATGAAAAAGAAAATTAAACAACGCTAACACATTAAATTTGAGAAGTTAGTAGAAATCTTAAAACAAAATATATTAAAAATTGGCCCATCCTTTATAAAGACATAATTTTATCACTTTTAACAAATATTATAATCAAATATAATGATAATTTGAAATAATTTAATTAAAAAAATTATATCAACATAATTATTGAGATATGATACAGTTTGTTGAATTTAATTTATTTACTATCTCTCGCAGTCAGAAATATTATGATTGCAATGAAAAGAATGATTGGTATTACTAATTAATTATGTGTTCCAAAAATGACACAAATAGTTGTAACATAGATTTTGACAAGTACATTTGTTGCTCTTACTTTGTATTAAGTTAATTATTCTGATCTTATGTAATGATTTTTCGATACTTAATATGTATCATTTTAGTATTTTGTAAAATGTTAATTTAATAATTTATTTGTTAAAAGCAAGAATCATTAACAGCTTGATATGGAATATTTTACTGCTATGTTTAATTTTTATTTTTATTTTTCGACTAATTTTGTACTGTTATTGAGTGTTGACTAATTTTTTTTTGTAAAAAGGAAAATAGTTTATAATTTATTACTGTACAAGTAATCATCCTTTCATATTTTTGGTATGATTTCAATAGTTCTAAATATTATTGAAAAATTTCAAAATCAAGCTTAACAGAATTGAAAATTAAATAAATTTTCAAGTTTGTTGAAAATTTCAACCTTGAATTATTATGCGTTATTTTTGTTTGTTACTTTTGCAAATCATTTAAATCTATATAACTTTGATAAGTAATAAGGTAGCAAATTTTTTGCTAGTTAATTTTATGAATGATTAAAATGAAGAAAGTAAATTTTGTCAAGTAAATGAGAAAAAGTTTATTAATATGTATATTTGAAAGAGATTAATTACATTTTCTTTGTGATCAACAGATTAAATTGCGATTGAATTGCATATTTTAATTGCAATTTTAGAGTAAAAAAAATTAGCTCATATGCATAAATTATCCTTAGTTTATTTCAAGCATTTATTTAATTTAAGACAATGCGCAGCAATCTGTACAATATTGCATGCATTCTAACAACATTTTGTGTACTGATTCTAGCAGATATTGCAAATATAAAACTTAAAAAATGCTGCAAAGCTTACGAACCACTGCAAAAAAATCAAAGTACCGTTGATGAGTGCTTCAACAAATATTGCGACTTCGATTCTCTCTCACAAACAAATGTAAATAAGTTTGCAGAAATATAACGAAAGTCGTAAATAATATTGCTCAAATGTTTGTCTTTTTTTTGTTAAGAATATAGAAAGTTGCTTTTATTTATTTATTGTTCCTCTTTTTTTTTTTTGCAGCAAAAAAACTGTATAGATAAATCATTAAGTTTTGAATTTTACCTTTGAAAATCAATAATAAATTAGTTTTGTTTTTTTTGATTAATGTGTTTTTCAGGTGCTCGTATTTCTGAAACACTGCGAGGGTACTGTTGTAGGCAATTTATTTTCTTGCGCATCGTCAAATTATGACCATACCGATTGTTGCATAGTAAGATCTTAATTTTGCAATAAAAGTTTACTTGAAAAAACTTCGAGATGAAAGTTACATAAAATATTATTTTTGCTATTTTTGCAATTAAAAAACTTCAAATTTAATTCTATTTTGTCATTCAACAGAAACAATTTTTGTAATTTATAATTAATCATTTCTTTATGCATTTTAGGCTAATGGAGTACATGGGAAATGCCTTGAATATTGCTCAACTCATGATGGTGTACCGAGCAATTATATAGATTATTTAACATGTTTAGAATATTTTGATATAGTTAAGAACTGCTTCCGAAATTATCTTAAGAAACATCCTCCTATCAAATCTTAGAAAGTATCAATTTATTCTTGTTATAACTTGATGCTCTGTTTTTAAACGTAAAAAAAGTTGTCGAATGCAAAAAACGAATTTAGTTGCTTCACAAGTTTGAATTTGTTAACGTATACGAATGTAATTGATAAAAACAAATAGACTTTTGTCACATACATCTGAGATATGTAAATGATTATTATTATGTAGATGTAAAGTTAAAAGAATACGTGATTTGCAAGTAATTCAATTCCTATTAGAAAAAAATTGTTGCGATAGATGATTAATAATAATCAGATTAATAAGTCATGACACTAGAAACATAGTTATTATGTTAATATTTGAGATAGATTAAAGAATATTCTACGGTCAATAGCATTCACATGCTACTATTATGCATTTGAAATAAATTTCTTCGTTTTCAAAAACAACTCAAAGAAAGAATCACGCAAATATAAAATTTAGATTCACTTCAGATAGCTCTAAAAAATGTTAAAATTTTTGTTTCATATTTTTAGCAGCAGAAATAAATCATATGTTTTAAGGTTATTGCATGTAAAACTTTGGGTTGAGAGTAATCATTTCCATAAAATGGTGTTGACAGCAAACGTGTATATATCTTTGTGGTTTATGATGGTAAGACGCAAGGAAAATTCTGCAATGAATGGCTCATTTGCATCAAATTTGATTTTTTGATCGTAAAAATATACATAATTATTTATTTATATATATTTATGCACATATATTCATGTATGCATCTATATATAGAGCAAAAATTAATGTCTACATGATGAATTGAAGCAACAATGCTCGCTTTCACTTTTACTACAATTTTGCTCTCATTTGGAAGCTATTCTCTGGTAAACAATTTATTCTACAGAATTTCAACCTAATTTAAAAATTTTATCAAATATGTTATTTAAAATAACAAAAATCAAACTGTGTTAGATACTCATAACTTTTTTACATTAGAACTTTTATCAATAAATATTAAGTGGTAAAATAAATCTCTTTTAAATTTGGAGTGTATGCAAAAGAACTTGAACTCCTTTACTAAAACTGCTTTGTTTGATGCATATAAAAGTGTAAAATTTTGAAAATTTTGCATAGTTTCTGTAAGTATTAACTAAAATGCTTATGTTGCAGGCGAAAAATGAATTGAAACGACCATTTTCTGATTCAACGGAGAATCTGACAATAACAACAAACACTTATGAACATTTGCTCACGAAAGCAAAATATAACAAGCAATCTGTCGAGAACGTAAAAAGGGTAAATCAAATGACTTATAAATGTTTGAAAAACTTTCTGTAGCATGAAAAAAATTATGGCAGAGTATGATAATTACATTACATTGGTAAGAAATATTATTGCAGAATTTAATGGGAGAATTTGGGAGTAATAAGGATGCAAACCAAAGCGAGCAAAATCTTGCAGCTTTGAAGTTTAATTTAATAACAACAGATACTCCATTTACGGAATCTAACGCAGTTGTTTCGGAGAAAATGGCAACCACAGCAAGTAATTTTGATATTGAGCCAAATGATTTGGTCACACATAATGACCCTTCATGGGAATCTGCGAACTTACCAGATGTAATTTAACAAATATTTTTGTCAGTATCATTTTAAAAGTGATTATGCATTCACGTCTAACATTTACTAGAAAGCACTTATTTCTGATAAAATTGCGTTTTTAGTTATTTCAGTGTTAATTATTTCACAGCATTTTTAAACATCGTTTTCCATTCATCCAATGTCTGTTCATGTTCTCACTTATTT